CACTGGGATGAGGTCGAGGTCGAGGGCAAAAATCGAGGGACAGACTTAGTAGTTGCGGGGACAGAGGGTAAATTGAATTTTGCATAAGGATCGTATTCGTTTCTCTGAAATATTATAGAATAAAAAAAAAGAAATAAAATAATGATGAAATAATACCAAATAAATGTAAAATAGAAATGAAGAAAAAAGCAGTTAAAATTCAAAACATTTTAATCGTGAATATTTGATTCAAAAATAACTTATAAGTCAAGAAGTCGAAGTTATAATTAATGAAGAAGGGAAAAATGTGTGTGATAAAATGTAAAAAAATTCGAGTGGACGCCAATGCGCGTGGTTAAGAGTTGGGCCCATGACGACGACGGTGGCGACGTTGTGTACGAGGGGAGGTAAAAATGGCGCAAGGAGGAAGGAAGGGTGGTCGGTGAGTTGGCTTGGTTGTGAGGATCGTCGAGGGGACGGCGAGGATGAGGGGAGTTTTGATGCGACGGAGAGAGGGTTGAGAAGCGGAGGGGTAGCCGGCCAATGGGCTTGCGCGAGTCGTGCGTGAGTGCTTGTTCGCGTGTTGCTCCTCATCTCCCTCCTCGTGGTGTGTTGTTCCTTGAGTTTAAAAGGTAGCGAAGCCGCGAAAGATGATGACGACGAGGGGGTGACGAATGAGGCATTTAAGATAACGTTGTCTTGGCTGCAATATCTACGTATTTCAAGAATCCGTGTGAAAAATTGAAACGACTGAGTCGACGACAATACGAGAGGATTTGCTGACACTTGCCTTTAAAAGGTGATGGAAATAATTGTGGTTTATGTTGTCGGGAATGCACGCGTTCTAAACGAAGGTTCTAAAATGTAGGACACACGCAGTGTGCGCACACTCTATTCAGCAACAGCAGCAGCAGCAGCTATTCTACTCCTCCCTCTTCATTCCTCAATAACGTTCGTCACGTCTCCCACCCAGCTAAATCCTCCGTTAACTCACCAGCAGTACCTGGTATGTGCTCTTCTCCATCGACATTACTAACGGCACGAGTACCGATGTGTATTGCTGCATTACTCAAGAATGTGTGCAAGTTACAAGCCAGACTAAAACGTGATGCCTAGGAAAACCAAAGAGTTGCAAGAGACACACGTTTTATCTCTGAGAAGCACAAGCTGCAACACGTACATATAGGAAAGAGAACCGACTCTCTGACGCGACACGTTGATCGTTCCAAGCACATCCTGGCACTCCCCCAGTTTGTGAGGGGAGTGCTGTAAAGAGGGAGAGTAGATATCCGACTCTCTGCCACTCGGGTGCCAGGAGTTGTTGCTTCTATCACTTTTCTCCCCTCTCTCTTTTTAAACATGTATAAGTATTTATATATATACACATATAGGTCTCAAGTCAAAGATCCCTTTTACCCAGCCCTTTGCTTCAAAACCTTTCACTAAATCACTTTGTAACGCTACCCACGTCTTGCCTGGGAAATAGACTTTGGAGATGAGACCAAGCTGATCACTGACATAGAAATTTAGTCATCTGATGAAGTAACCCTCATTTATGACCTTTGGGTCTTGATGATAATGCCTTTTCCAAGTATTCTAAAATTACACCCTTACTTCTCTCTAACGTATCAACCGCCTTAGAATATCATTTAATTATCACATTAACGATTTTTATATCTTTTCAAATAATTAGTTTATCACATGTAAACTTAATGAATCATATCGTATTTACAATTATAGATGAGAAAGAAAAATAAAAAAAAATCTCAAGTAAATATAAAATAAAATAAAATAAAAAAATTAAAGTCAAGATAGACCACATCCAGGCAATAAAATGTCCAAATGTCCATTTGTAATCTTACAGGCCATCTTACAAGTTTAGTTTCCATCCTAGCTCTTTCACAATGTCCTGAACTGGTCTGTTGCGTAATATTTATTTGCCCGCACAGCAAACGGGTATCATCATGGCGTAGTACATGTACAAAACAAGCCAAAGTCGCATCGCAGGATTCAACAAGACACATTGTTTGCCCTCGTGTTAGTGGCGCGGAAACGGCAGTCGAAGGTGAAGTAGCTTCTAAGAGTGAGATAAAGTGATATTAGATTTATTGTAGAAGCAAATGAACGTTGTTGGGGGTGGAGGGAGTAAGGAGGGAGTATTTCAATCTCTGTCTTTCTCATTTCCCTAGTTAAAACGCAACAGTATCCACTGCGCTTTGTCGTTCATTTTGTATCCCGGCGTGACTTCGTCGTGGCAATGCCGATTACGCAATGCGTGGCCGTGAGAGTGCCCGAGTCTCGTGTCGCCACTTTACACTGTTGCTTCTCTCTCACAAATACACAATGATAGAACCTCGACTTTATGATGCGTAAATTCAATGTGTTAGTGTCTGCTTTGCACATTGCGCATAACTCAGTCAAACATCTTAAACATTATTCATGTCTCTTGAGTGTGTTCTATAGTCGTCAGGGAGCGCCTTTAAACAACAGAGGGTGTGCGTCATAAGTTCCTAGGCAATACATAATATCTAAAGTTGTACAAAAACTCCTAAAGATTTCTAGGGAGGAGAATGAGCGATGACGTTATCTTACAATTAGTAGTGAAGTCATGAGAAAAAAAAAAACATTCTTTAAAAAAAAATTATATAAAATCCTTTCAGCAAACTCTTTGATCTTTTATTTTTTGACTTGAATATTTTTTCGCAGGAGTTGGAGGCATCGTTAATGGTATCTAGTCATGCGATTGAAAGTTTACGAAACAATACACAGGGGTCGCGTGATAGATCGGTATAGTTTTTTCGTCAGGACCTGATGAAATGACTCATTAAAGAAATTATTTTCGTAAGAGTCATTGAGTAATTAGTGATTAAAACATTTATATAAAGAGGGAGAAAAGTTAATGGACAATTAATATTTTTTTTTATTTCATTGATTTTATAAAAGAGATTGTGGTTCAATGTTTTTTATTTAATGTTTAAAGTTTATTCTTATTAGTTAGCAGAAATTTATTTTTGTGATGAAATATATGTATTGTAAATTTTTACAATGATGTCATTTAGTAACTCAATAAATTAGTATTTCGAATGCCCAACTAAATAATTCCGAGCAAAATTAATTATTTATTTATATTATATAATGTGATTATATTAATGACTACTTTAAAGACAATTTATTATTAATAATGCAATTTATTTGAAATTTTCATTTTAGATACTTGAAAAAGGACTATGACTGATAGTATTTCCAATAATATAAATTTATCTTTTGTTATTTTTAAACGATGTTTTCTACTTTTAATATAATCAATAGAGTTCATTAATTATCAACAAATTAATCTTATAACAACAGTGTATTTGTCTGTCAACTAGAATAAATAAAAAAAATCAGTTTTAAGTAGATATTTTCAAGCTAACACTTATCGATAATCAGTAATTAAGTTATTTGATTAGATAATTGAGTAATTGATTTAAATAATTTTTACCTGCTTTACACAATTTTTCTGTCAAATCATTATATTTATTAAAACTCAATTCAATAGTTTTAATGTCAAGAAGGGCAAAAGTGCATTTTATTCATAAATATTTATCTTTATTCAATCGTGAACAAAAAAAAAGAATAATATTATTTAAAATGGCTCATGTTTATTACGAATGATCTTAACACGACACATTAATTCTTATAAGATTTTTATTCATCAAGTGTACCCAATAAATAACAAATGAAATAAATTTGGTAGAGCTTTATATCGTATATATTCCAATCGAAAGATGACTTTTTTGAAAAACCGTTATTCAATACCGGTTGTTGCCACCACTAATCCCTTGCTTCAAAGTAGAATAAAAAAAACAGTTCGACTGAACGATGGTAGTTATCAGTTTATGGCGTGACGAAACTGGCATAAATTCCCCTTCAAACAAACCAACATACACCAAATATAATTTTTTTTTTAAATTTCCCTCTCCTTCACAGTCTTGAAGACGCAGTTGTGTACACGATTGACGTCAAATTGTCCTATATTATTTCCATCATTCGTTGAGCTGAATATTCACCTTTTTCGGATCAAACTCAAGTTATGTTTAAATGTCCAACAAGTGAGGAACTTTGGAATGTTGGAGTTATATAGAGGCTTGCGTAACGCCGGCAAGGATTCGTGGAAGGGATCGGTATAGTAAGCAACAAGGAAAGAAGTATAAGAGAGAAAGAAATAGGAAGAAGATAATATTAAAAGACACGAATGAACGGGTACGATAGAGTGAGACAGAGAAGGCCTTGAATAACCGTGAAACCGATCGTGCTTCCTCCCGTAGGTTAACGAGGTCGTTCAAGGTCGAGGCTTGGCGCTCCTTAAGTCCAGCCGCATGGCACATATGAGAGATATAACTATCAAGTGTATTTATGAAAGAAAAATGGAATTTATAATGGCGAGTTCTCGGAAAAACGATTGACAGTCCTGGAGTGTATTGATATGAATGCGTGTGAAGCGCGTAATGATTTAGTGGTTGGGATTTAAAGAATCAGTCGGTAAGACAGAGAAGTATATTTTTATCTTTCTGTTGATGAGCTGAAGACCGAGAGAGGATTGTGAGGGACGTGAAGATTAGAGATTTGTATAGAGGGTTCGATGGGTGTGTGAAGTGATCAGAGTCTGGCACGCACGTAGGAGCCATTTGCGTGTGCGAGAGGGCGAGAAACGTAAAAGGAAAAGAATGGAGTCGTCTATTCAGCCTACACTTCAGCATCAGGGTCGTGCATAGCTATGTTGTACGAGTTTACCTCCTCCTCCTTCTTTTTCTCTCCTCTTTCTTCTTCTTATTTCTCTTCTCTCGTGTCTCAACCGTTGCTAGAGGCAACTGCGCTATTATTTGTGCTGGATATATATCTCTATAGCCTGAAGGCGCCCACGATTTTTTCTTTGAAGCGTAGAAAATGATTTTTCTTTTTAAAACGTTCATTATACCGAGTGATATATGTTTTTATTTTGAATTGTAAACACTAATTGTTTTCTTGAATTTTTATTTTAGGTCACAAGTGAAAAAGACGTGATACATGATTGGCCGATGAAGATTACAGAAAGTAGACTTTTTTGGTGTAATAGAAGCAGCAGCAGTAGCAGCAATAAGAAAATAGCATTGCCGTGGTTAGCGCGGAAGAGCGACAGCAACGGCAAATTAGAACAACATTCGAGGTCTGATGTTAGCGGACATTAACGGTAACTTGGCGGATCTGAGAAGCGAAGCGATGACGTCGCAGAGGTTTTGTCTGCGCTGGAATAACCATCAGAGCAATTTACTTTCGGTCTTTGATCAATTGCTGCATGACGAAGCCTTCGTAGATGTAACGCTGGCCGTTGAGGGCCAGTTGCTCAAGGCACACAAAATGGTGCTGTCAGCGTGTAGTCCATACTTTCAGGTAATCATCGCATCATCGTTTAATTATTTTGATATATAGGGTTGATGCAACGTTTGTAGCCACTGAATCTTTTACCATTGTTATCTACTTTACTCATTCATTCTCTCATTTTCAATATAATTTAATGATTTTTTCATTTCTTTATCACTATAATGATCCTTCAGAATTAGTATCAGATTTACAGGCTGATTTTTTCTATCAGTTTAAATGATATACTGTTGTTAAATGATCAATAAACAATTGAAATACATTGAATCAATGAAAATTTTACTTAGGAATTATAATTATCTGTTTATTGATAAGCTACATTTAAAAAAATTGATATCTACTGTTGTAAATAGCCCATAACTTTCCAATTTAGTGGTTATCTTTGAATAATTTCAAAAAAATAACTACATACAAGCGACTTTAATAACATAATTACATAAATTATTTCTTTAAGAGTTACCTTAAAATTTCTTCTAACAGGTTATTTTTGGGTTGAAAAGGATATGAGATAAGAGTTAAATAAAGATGTCATCGGGCCATCAAAGTAAATTTCAGGAAGTTTATAAAGCAAATAGAATAATTACGAAAAAATGATAAGAAATAAGATAATTAAATATTTTCCAATGAAAATTAACGGTTGATAAATGAAGGAAATGTGTTCTTAGGTCAATTAGCTTAGGACTAAAATTCCTTATTCAAGTATTGTACTTGGATCTGTTACAAAATATATACATGGAAATTAAAACAACTAATTAACAGAAATATTTAATGATAAAAAACAACTAAGTGGAGAAAATTTTTCAATTAACTTCCTAGAAGGAATCAACGATAATTTAGTAATTGTTAAAACGATTTCATTATCTATTTTTTCTATTAATGATGATGACAATAATATATATTTGATAGAGTGACTATAAATTGAAATCAAAACTATTTATTTCATTTGGTAACTGATTGAATTAATAAGCTATGATTTTTTTAGGCCCTTTTCGTTGGACATCCTGACAAGCATCCAATAGTCATACTCAAAGATGTTCCCTACGTGGATATGCGTAGTCTGTTGGACTTCATGTACCGCGGTGAGGTGAGCGTAGATCAGGATCGATTGACGGCCTTCCTCAGGGTTGCCGAGTCACTTAGGATAAAGGGCCTGACCGAAGTAAATGAGGATAAATGCGATTTACCGAGCATCACATCCTCGTTACTTGGCAATCAGAACACAGTACCTCCACCACCACCAAATCTACATAGAATAAACCAAATTGGGCCTCATCATCATGTGTCACAGAAGAGGTTCCACCACATGTCAAGTCATCCGTTGCTCGGTTCGGCTCTTACCGCTCCAAAGAGAAAACGTGGTAGGCCACGAAAACTGAGTGGATCATCTGATACTCCAATAGGTGAAGGATCACTCGCTCAAGATCTTCAGTCATGTTCATCAGACCTTGTACAAGGTTCACCTGAAATGATGGAAATGAAAATGGGTATTGACTTTCAAAGTGAAACAAGTACAGGCGCAAACACCAGTGGTAATGGAAATGCAAATAACAGTGGTAGCAATCATTCGGCCTCATCAACACCAGGACCGATTACGGGGAGAAAAGACGAGCCTACGGAGAATGGTGAACGGGATACACCTGAACCAGTCACACCTAGAATCAAGCGAGAACCCGAACCTACACCAAGTACCTCTGCGCAGGGTGAGTTTTTGCTGAACCTATCCATATGTTAACCCTTCATCACTTTTCTCTCATTCTTTTCTTTGGCTCGAGGGAGAGTGGCACGTGTCTTAGCATTCATTACACTCGACTACCAATTCAATATCTACTTTCTTTCACTTTATATCGTTATTTACATACGTCAATATCAATATCAATAATTACACTGGAGAGGAAGGTTAAGAGAATTCCGTAATTACCTTCATTTATAAGAGAGAGTTTTAATGGATCTCAATCGATCCTTTTTAGCTTCTGACAAGACGTTCGCGCAGCCGCTCAATAGACAAGGGAGCGAGCAAGCTTACAGACAAGGTAAGAGTGCGAACATGAATTAGTAACGTCGAGTATGAAGCTTTTTCAAACCATTCACACATGTTGTTTAGTAACAAAACTTTCCTCTATTAGCAATTGATTTCTTGTTTTTTTTTTTTTTAGTTTAGAAATATTTCTTTTCCAGTTTATCATATCCCTGTAATTCTGATATGCCCGCGGACTCTATAAAATTCTCATTTTCTTCTTTTCCTTCTCTCTTTATCATTGATTACATCGCTAAGATTTGCTTACAGGGAAAGAATACATAGTATCTATTTATATATTATTTTAATTATCTTTTTTATTTTCATCGCAGATGCGACGTTACAGATTTTTCGTTTCGTCTATCCCTCAGTCATCGAAGTGATGAGCTTCAACAGTTATTTTTTAAATTATTTAACTGCATGATTCAATTCTTCATCAAGAGTTGAAGTAATAAATACATTTATCATATAGCGCGATGACACGGATTATTATAACAATGTTAATTATATATTAATTAACGGTTTGAACAATATATCTGTAGAAAATTATACCTCGGCGTTAATATTTTTCCTGCATGACGTGCAAAATGAAATTAAAAAAAAAAAAACACCCTTGATAAAACAACATGTAATATAATCTATAAATGATTTTAAAATAATTATCGAGAGCTTATTGAGTCGTTTGCTCTTCAATTAAATCTCGCCCCCGATCAAAGTAATTAATTGTATTATTTATTAGTCAATTTAATTCATGACAAAAATTCAATTATCAATAATAAATTCATTGATAAATTAATTACAATTAATTGAATTTATTACTATTATTAAAAAAAAAAAAAAAAAAATAAAAGAATATTTTTACGAGATAAAACCCAATCCCAAATGAAAATTAATCCTTATGATACATGAATAAATAAAATAAAAGTCACGTGTCATCACGCTCGGCCAATGTGCAGCGTAGTTAGATAATTAAAGTATGAAATAACAAAATTAGAGTATTATTTATTAATATTAATATCAATAACAATAGTAATAAAAAATAAAATATTTCCTACAATTAATCAAAATTTACTTCAATTTTTCGTGTTTTTATCTAACGTTTGAGAATTTGTTTTTTTCTTCTGAACTCATCAATTAATATACATTTATAATTTATAAAGAAAAAAGATATATTCTTCATTATTAATGTAAATTGTTTGATGACTTTTTAATTTATTCTCCCTGCATAAACAAATAACGCTTCGCTGCCATTGGCCATTGGTGAAAGGAGGGGGTGGAGCCAGCTAGCGGTGCTTACTTTTTTAAACGCTGGTTAAAGTATCCGTTCGTTAATATAATTATGATCGAAATCATAAACTAAATATTTCAAAACACGAAAAAATAAAATAAAATAAAATATAAATATATTTATATGTATACAACACAATATTATCAAATGGAAAGTTCAAAATGATGATTAAATAAAAAGATAATAATTATTAAAAAGAACTTTGCAAGACTGCAGACGGGTTTTTTCTAAAATTGAAATGATCGGGGACTGTGTGAAGGCATGGAACGTACAACAGTGGACGCGTCTTTGCCTCTGTTCATCGTTTCGTCGCTTCCGCCTTCTCTCTCTCTCTTGCGTTATCGTGTGACCATTAAGCACAGGATTAGACGGAGAGTTGAAAAAGAGAAATAAACATATCAAATAATAATTGAGTTAAGAAATATATTTATGTGAGAATGAGAACGTGTAAAGAGCGAGATGCGAGAGAGAGATAACACGAACGAGAGGGCGAGAGAGAGACTCAATAGCCACTATTTAAATAAAAAAATGTTTTTTTTTTTTATAATTCAAGAAACATATACATATTTAATAAATCGAGTGATAAAAATGATTTTTTTGTCTTTAAAAAAAGAAAAGAAATGATATCAATTTTATTTGTTAGTTAATAATGATTTTTAAAAAAAAAATGGATAAAATTTTGTTAAAGTGCTCGAAGATTGAAGAATTCGTTGAGAAATAGTGACACGTGATTATTTTTGTCTTTTGCACAGGTGAGTTGAGTATTGAGTCACCTTTGAAATCTATCGTTATTTTTTTACCATTGCGCGGGGAAGCGATGAGGGATCTAGGGAAGGCCAGCCGTTTAAAAAACAATTATATTCTCTTAAATGCCAGAATAAATTATTTATTTATTAGAACAAAGAAACAATGATCATGATGATGATGATGATCTAAAATGATGAATGAGCTTAAAATAAAAAAAATAAAAAAATATATATATACAAATAAATTAAAGAAGACAAATCAGATTAAAAAGAAAAAAAAAATAAGATCGATAATCGGAGAGAAGGAGAAGGAACCGATGAGAACGACGTTCTTGTCTATCGGTATGTCCTCGATCTTGATGGATCGTCCACACAATAATTAAGATATAAAACAGAGTGACTTGACGGACTTTTTAAACTACTTGACTCTCGACGCGTTGTTATAAGGCGGATAAGGTGTGTGTATTTGAAAATGATAAATACACATTAAGTACACAAATAATAAGTGACAATGAAGGAAACCAATAGTTAAGAAATAAAACAAGTGTGCGCGCATGGTGAGTCTCACATAACATATTTTTTTCTTTTATAATTCCCGTATTCCTTATAATTTCCTCATGCATGCACATCGAGGCAGAAAATGATGAAATGTAAGAGAGAAAAGATATAAGGAATGGTGGAAGAAAGAAAGAAATAAAGAGAGGAAGGAAGAATAATAGTTTTAAAATCGTTTGTTAAAGCGACTTAGTGAGTGAGTGAGAGATATATATATAAAATGCAAGTTAGAGAGTAAAAGATAACACATAACAGATGGGAATAAATGTGGGTGGGTTTTTGAAACGAGAGACACACGAGGGCGCGCACACTCGTGCGATTACGAAAATGATTACTATTTATATATATATATATGAGAGAGAGAAAATCAAAGTACACACGCCGCACACGCCTACAGGAACGTTTAAATGATGAAAATCAATATAAAATAAATGAAAAAAAAAATAATATTAAATTCACGGAGACTTTATCTTTTATATATATAATTTTAATTAGTAATTTGCTGGCTCTACCCTTCCTCTTGCTTCCCCCTACAATACTACGAGTTAATAAATTAATTAAAATAAAGTAATATTAAAAAGTAAAATAAACAAGGATGTATACTCGTGATACGAGAGTGTTTATCGTTTTCAGACGCGGAGGAGTCGTCGAACGGAAGTGGTGCCCAATCGCCGGCTCACATTCGCATCAACTTTGAGAGATGTTTTCGCAAGGAGTATAGTACATCGAGTCTGCAGGGGAAAGGTGGTAGTACTGCATGTGAGGATCCGCCAAATTCAGATACTGAGTCTGAACAAAAGGTGTCAAAAGAGCACCTAAGCAGTGCCATATTCAATTTGGTCGCCGGTGAGTCGGAGATCAGTCAAAGTGACTTCGAGGGATCATTCAAGGTTGAAAGCGAAAGAACTGAAGGATCGGTTCGTGATTTTTGTGTTAAGGAAGGCGATGTGTACAGGTGTACTGTTTGTCATCGCACTTATACACACATCAGTAATTTCTGTCGTCACTATGTAACATCGCACAAGCCCAACGTTAAGTACTACCCATGTCCAGTATGCTTCAAAGAATTTACACGCAAAGACAATATGGTGGCTCACGTCAAGATTATACATAGTTTGAAGCCACATATGAGCTTAGGTAGCTCCAGTATGGGCCAACAGCGGTAGGCTATCGCTCGAGTGCGTTCATGTAGATACTGATGAGGATGACAGTCGTTAGGTCAAACCCTGGAGGTTCCTCTTCACTTTGCTCTTATGTCTATTAAGAAGCACTCTGAGAGATTCCAGGCTTGTCCAAACGGCTTTGTCCTGTTTCAACAGTCTCACGAACCAGAAGGAAAATTACGTCTGAACGTAGATAGGTAGTTAGGTAGGAACCCTAGGTAGATAGATGCCTGGTTTATCATATACTAAGAGGGAGATCTGGGAGATTAACTTTGTCTGTTTATTTTTAAATTTTAGAGATTTAAGTATCAGTTATTGCGTTTTTTTAAAAAAATGAAAAAAAATACACCAATAAATCTCTGTTATGTTTTATGTCAATTAACGTATACAGATTTTTATTCGTTTTTTTTTCTTCAATCAAATATTGTTTTAAACTATAAAAACACTCATTTACTAAATTCATTATATTTATAATACGTTTATTGATTTGCTCTGCTCTGATAACTAAACTTCAATCGTTATCTTGTTTAGTAGAGTTATTTATCGAGAGCTATATTAAGTTTGTACAAATTTTATAAAGCTATAACAAGGCTGTTAAAAATCATCAAGCAGCTAAAGAAAAAAAACAACTTTTATTTTATTAAATGATTTTTAAAAAACTCAAAAATCAATATTATTAAACAATTGGTTAGAATAACGTCAGCGTGTCGATCTCCCTAGATTACATGAAAGAAAAAAGAGTTGTGATTGTTCTTTTGATGATAATAATACAAGCCAAGGGGCATTAATTTACAAAATGAACGAGCTTTACCGTTTACCTTCTTAATTATTAAGAAGTTGCGGAACTTATACAAAAAAAAAAAATACGTTATTACTTGAGAAGAATTTATATAAAAGATTCAATCGATTTTTTTAGTCGAACCGTTTAAACGTA